AGTATCTATTTTTTTCCATATGAAACGTTTCCTAAAAGGACATCTGATTACTGATGAGGTTAGCAATTCGCTGCATATTGCACTGCAACATGCAACAAAGCCTTTTTATCCGATAATTTCGGCTTACCGTAATCCAGAACTGCAGATGATTAGTGAGCAATGCATCGATCATCAAGCGTACCTGAGGACAACATGATAATTATTCATTTGATGACAGCGAACAGGTGCGGGGCTCGTTCAACCTAGGTTTGCGGAAGGGAAAATGCCGATTGTTGCGATTTCCAAAAGCATTTTCATTTTTTTGAAAAAAAGTTTTCAAAAAGCGTTGAAATGTGAGAATTATACTGTTTTAGATGCAAAAAAAGCACAGGCACTGAACAAAAGCTTTTTTCCTCAGATTATTGATGTGATTTTTTCCCTCAAGTGGAAATATAATAAATGCACATAGTTATGCCGTGTTGCTATGGCTTTTCGTATCTTGCAACGTAGTATCCACGTGTCCTGCCATATTTGAATAATTTATGAGAATTATGCAATATCAAATAGCGCTGATGTTATTCCTAACCACCTCTAAGCTTATACTTCCGTAACGAATCTAAAACCAACAACAAATCCATCAATTTTAGGCTGTCCCCCAAAAAGATCCGGACGAAGAGAATGAACCATCATGGCGAATTACCGTCAATCCATCTGCAGAACTATTTGGATCACAACGACTTCGTCAACTCATCGATAGACTCTATCATCAGCAAAAATTGCTAAGTGCAAGTGATGCAAAACAGGCATGGATTATATCTTTTTTTTTCCTCTCACGATTTCATAAGTGCATCAGTGCTATTTTCCCTTGAATTTCGGAAATATGATATGTAGAAGGACGGGGCATGTGATTCATCGGAGAGGATTTCGATAGTTTCGAGAATTCCCAGCGCGCATAGGAATCGTTGAAAATGAGTAATGGGGTATGCAACCATGGGTGGAGGGAGAGTTAAAATTTTAAAACGCTTTCTTACGAGTTGTTTCAGGCGATGCTATATCTTAAAGGGATTGTGTATCTTTTCTTCATGGAACGAGGAAAGCGATTTTGCATATGTAATTCCAAATAGCAGAAAAGGGGGAATCTTTAGAAGACTTACAAACTATCCTTTCAGTTTACCAATCGCATTTATTGTTTTAAGGCAGCAAATAATATCAAAATGATAGCAAAGTTATCAACTGTAAACTCTTCTTAATGTCTTAAGATTGTATAAAAATCATTTTTAAGCGTTTTCTCTCTAACTTTAGCATTTTTCAAAGGTTTGTATAGCATTTTGTCTATCAAAGCCATACTATGATGGAAACGAATATTGCTCGTTGTTCATCATCTAAGCGATATCAAATCGCAATCTGCGGTAGACTTCTTTGTAGAAAAGAGGATTCCTTTTTTTCTGATTATCCCAGGACCTAAATGACTAGTGGTGAGATTTTAATGTGGTTTTAATGGAAACTAAAAGGATGTCATACTTAGTAACGATATCATAACCAATTCTATTCAACCATCTGTGACTAATTAGTGTATGTTGTGCACATACACCGTATTTAAGTGAAACTTAATTATTATTATTAAGGTTCCTTATTGTGATCCTTTTCTAAAATCGCAACTATCCAACATAACTGCTAAGAACAAGAATGAATTTGGGAGTGAAAATGAAAGTCTTTTAGAAAGTGGCAGTAGCTTTAAGAAGTTAATATTCTTGAAAAAAATTAAGGATACTTGATCGAAGTGGCGACTCAGGAAAAAGGATTATGATAGGTTTGTTTTGAAATGTTGACTCCAATTCTGCCTTCATATCTGAAAAGTTTTTTAAAAAAGTTATGTTTTTTTTGCCTTTTAAGAATGTCTTGCGAGACCTGTAGAAAATGCCCACAAGTTTCACTTCAACAGAAAATAGCAGGTAGAAGCTGAACATCTAATTTACCTTTAAACTTTCGAACTTTTAACGCTTTTTGAAATGATAACTCTTTGAGTTGTGTTTGATGCTTAAGGACAAATACTAGCAGGCCATAAACGCTGTTTTCAGTGGGAGAACCTTTCACAACTTCTCCCAAAAAAAAAAACGCTTCGCAGATACGGAAGAAAGATTTGGAATTAGCATTTAAGCTGCACCTAAAAGTATGTACCCCTTTCAATCGCTACTTCGGCTAAGTATCCTTTCCTGTAAGAGACTCTTCAAGTAACTTTTAATGGCGGTTAAGTGTACATATAATGCTTTGAATTCGATTATAAGGGTCTTCCTAAAGGTTCAGATAAAGCACAGTTTCAGAAACTAAAAGGAAAAGTCAATTTTTTTCCAACTAGACTTGCCGCTCTTTTCATTCGCAAATAGCTATACCTCTTATGCAAATGGCGTGCAAAACATGCTTAATTGCTTCTCGGCTAGCCACTTTAGCCAATTTCAACGGGAATCCGGGATTTGTACAGCTACCCATGGGAAGCGCGCGTGTGTGTGAATGTTTCCTAGGCGCATCTGTTGATTCGTCGCGTTGACGAGTTCGAATCCAATTATGAGATGCGATCGTTGGCTGGTAACGGGTAAACAAAAGCGGAATCTGGGAATTTGCGATTATTGCGATGGGCAAAGAGTTGCGAATTCCCTATGCGTCCTTTAATTCTGGTACATTTCGATCATACTCTAAATTAAGCCAATTTCCGTTTTCATTGCTCCCCAGCTAGCAATCTACGCAGTACTCATTTCCCATTCCAAGCAATTGTTAATCGCACCATTGGCACGCACATTTTAACCCTTCAGTTGAATTAGCGGAAATTACTGAGAGACGAAGCGGACGGTGGGCAGAATTGCCCTGTCTTTAATTTTCAAAAATTTTTG